TGTTGTGGTGTCAGTCTAGAGCGATTTTTTCCGCGACAACAAAAGGACCAGTGGATATTATAAGGCAAGGAACGGTGTTATTGTCATACTTATGTTATGTCGTGATATCGACATGTTGTAAAGTATGAACTGATCGGAATTGAACCAAAAATTCAAACATTTGCAGTTTGGTTCCCCACCTGTGATCTGACTTTTGCACGAGCTTACATGAGCGGCAACCTTAAGTGACAAGCAAAACAAAAATGAAATGGCAACTCGTGTATGTATGTATGTATGTATATTCTGTCCGTCCGCAAAATGTTTCACGGGTTCGAATTACTGGAGGGAAAAACGACCGCTAGGCAAACCGGAAATCGATTGGTGCAGATGTATCAATCCAATGTTTTGATTGTGATAACAGCCTCCATATATAAGACAACCATTCGGTACACTCCGAGCCATTGCACGAGCTGCTGGCGTGGCAGCTGGACGTGGCTCGTGCGGGGGCAGGGTGGGGTGGAGCCAAGGGGGGCACACCCCTACCCTCCTTCCCCTGTACGTGCTCAGCTGGACCTGAGCATGTGCATGTGAAGGAAGTAGAGGGGGGGGGGGGTACGGTGAAGGGGACGGGGAGCGCAGCGCACATAGCTGAAGAGGAGGACAGCAGACGACCGCTAGCAAAACCGCGAGGTAATCCAGAATCGAGTAAATTAAGATGTTGTTCTGATTGTGATAATACCCTCACCCTATACAAGACAACAATTTAGTACACCCCAAGCCATTGCTCAAGCTGCTCGCGTGGCAGCTGGACGTGAGTTCGCGCGTGGGTTGCTCCATCTATTACGACTCGATCAAATTATGGGTATGGGGGAGTATGTAGTTTGCCTGAAACAGGAAACTCCGGAACAGAAAACCTGAATAATGCTTCGCTTCATGCGTTCAACAGCCCTTTTTACTTTTGACCATTCAATTACAGATGAGAACGAATAACAAGGGAGTGTAGTACCTACTAATAATAATACTTTAGGGAGCGGACCGCATGCTAATTGAAAAGGGGAACATTCATCGGTAGGCATTTCGGTGCAGGTGATGTAAACGAAATCTGTTCTTCTACTGAGTGATTCACATTGCGCTGTATTTTCCGACTACACATTGTATGCTAAGTAGTGCAGGATCCTAAGCCTTGCTCTATCTGTTACGATTCGATTCCTACAGCGCCGTATGAGCAGCCCACTATTAAAAAGGCTCCGTTAAAATTATGGAGCGCGCCTGGCGAAGCCAGGCCAGCTCGGCGAAGCCGAGCTCAAGAGAAGGAGGAGAGCTCGGCGTTAGCCGGGCGATCCGACTGGTATATAAATAAAGAGATAACCGCCTTCAAACGGGTCAATTCATTGAATGTGACCGTCAGCGCTTTTAATTATCCTAAATGTCTTCCTTATCCTAACACCTGATAAAAAGGTCATCGTTAAAAAGGATTCAAGGGCGCTACTTGACAACAACCAGCAGCACTGCTTTATGCACTCACTTGAGCACAGCATGAATCACGAATTCCTCTGCGACGATCTTCAGCAGCTCTCATCATCCTTCTACACGTGTCCCTCTCTCCCTCAGCTTTCCTCTAGCACTAGCCACCAGGAACATGCACCTACATATTGGATGAACTCCGCGGTTCTTCAAGGCAGACGTCCACCATGTCTGCGCGTGATCCATGATTCTACATTTGCCTCAACTTTTTCCTCAATCCTTCACACCACCATCGTACTACTTTACCACTTCACAGATAACGTCATCTGTCATCTACAACCCCTTCACGATGTGCACCAACTCCGCCTGCACCAGATTCCTTGCTCGGTGATTCTACCGTTTCAGATTTATCTCAGACAGCGGCTCCTGCACTACCACAATAAAGAGAGACAGAGACATATATTGGTGAAAAACACATAAGCAAGTTTGGTAAATATGATGTGCTCATTTGTAGGATTGAAGGCGCGAAGCATTCTTGCACCTTCTTTTTCAAATTTTTCGCCAAGCATTACGATGTATTGTAATAGAAGCTGTTAATATTTCTCACTCTTGTATTTGAAGAAAGTATAATAATTACTATTTCACCAATAAAAATACTTGGTTGCTTTGACGTAAAAGTCATGTTGAGAAAAATTATCCAATATGTTTTTTTAACTCTTGTTTCATCGGTTTGAAACTCAATATTCAGTCTTCACACTTCCCTATCCATATTCTTCGAGTTGTGTTATAACATGTTATAACTGAGAAAACAGCGTAATCGATGAGAGGTCAGGAGGCAGCGAGCAGCAATTAAGTGAGGTCACACCGCAGGCGACTCTGCCACTATGAGAGAAGAGGTGCGAAAAAGTGGACTGCACAAAAGTCCTACATCTGATCAGGACCATAAATTGAACCATGCGCACAGAAGTGCGCGTGGCCAAACTGATTGGTACAGAAAAGCTTACTGGTTTCTTGACTTCACTAGCAGTGGATTTCCTCTATCCTTCTCTTTGCCACGGCTACGGGTGTATATGTCCCGACGGTCGTAGTCTTTCTCTCTCTTTCTCAGGGCACGCCATTGCGTTGTGATCATTTCCTGAAAAATACGACCCCCCCTA